GACCAAGGTATACTTATCTTAGCTTCCAAATACGCTGCAGCAAGACTCAACAAGACTTAGAAACTCAGACCAAGTCTCTCTGCGCCTCTTTTTGCCTGCCAAATCGAAGTCTTTAGGGTCTTCAAACAGAAGATTAGTAGTTGTAGTGTGTAGATTTAGCTAGTTTTAGCTTTAAACCATTAAGTCACCTCTTTTCAACGTACATACTAGGGGTCTGCAAACTGGCTATGCCCAACAAAAGGCACAGGCATGGGCATGGGCATAAAAATTTGCCATGGGCATGGCATAGGCACAAAAATTTGGCATGGGCACAAAGATTTGGCATGGGTATGGGCACAGGCACAAAAATTTAATATTTATTAATTAATTTTGCCTGGCACTTTGCCCAGCACTTTGCCCGGCACTTGTGCCTAGTACCTTTTTGGCACCTTTTTGTCTAGCATATTGTGCCATGCTATAATAGTGCCTGGCATATTGTGCTCATGTCCATAAAATGCCTGGAATTTGTGCCCATGCCCACAAATAATGCCTGGCATTTTTGTGCCTAAGGCATAGGCACAGCATAAGGCACTAGTGTATGGCCTGATGCCGTATGCTGGGCATGGTACAGGTAGTTAGTAAATTAGTATGGTATAGTAGTACAAATATGTACGTATATATGAAAATTGTGCAAGATTTTGATAGTACGTACGTTTAAAAAAAATTTTTTTTTTTTGTACTAGCGCATACGAATTTTTTTTATATTTTAGTACTTTCAAAGTCTATTAATAAATGAACAACACTAGAAAAATGTAAAACTAAGTTTTAAAAATACCAGATGCAATTCTTAAAACATGCATAATTGAGTTATTAAGTTATAAATTTATAAGTTTGATTCCTGATTTTTTCCCAGCATTAATATTAATATTTGTTTAAATTTTTTTTTTAAGCAAGTTTTAAGATACAATCAACATTTATTTAATTGCAAGCGAATACAAATTTTTATTGAAATTAAATGCAAAGATAAGCATATTTATTTAAAATAAATTCAAACTTCTGAAATTACAAACCCAAACTTTTTTTTAACTGCTAGTTTTGTAATTCAATAGCCTCCGCTTCAGCAGCTTCTTTCATAACTCTAGTTTGACATTCTAACAAAGCAATCATTCTTTTCTCCAATTCAATATCAAGCAATAAATTATTTTTATTGTTATTTGGCACCATAGATGTGCCCTCAGGATTATCTGTTGATTCCATTTCTATTACCTCAATTGCCTCTTGAAAACTGGTTTCACGATGTAATCTTTTATTATTATTGGTGGTGGTGGAAGTCTTTCTTTTATGAACATTAGTGCTAGTAGACTTATATCTTGTTGCTAAATCAATAAAAAAAAATAAATATTGATGTATATAGTTTTAATAAATAATTTTAAAATAAATGTTTACCTCTTCTATTTGATGCAATTTGTTGTCTTTTAACCTCACTTTTGTCATTTCTTATATATGGTATACCTGAATTATTATAGGTTTGTTTAATTTTAAGTAATCTTTCATCATATCTCTTTCCGCTAATATAAGTAAATAAATCAATAAATAACTTTATTATAAATAATATATATTATATAATTAATAAAATTACCGTAGAATAGCTGGCAAAAGTTTTAATTATTTTCTATCCTTATTTACTAAGACATGAGCTGATTCTGCCAAATTAGTATTGTTGTTGTGTTTTCTCTAAATATTACGTTCCATTTTAGACATATGTATATTCAATGAAGAAATTACCCAAGGTATTTTATAATAATTGGCTCATTCTAATAATTTTTTTTTAAAAATTAGTATAATTATTAATTTTTTTAAAAAAATTAATTTTACTGTTACCTTTTGCACCTGGTTCATCTGATGATTTGATTTTGTCTAAAATTAATTCGACTAATTCTTGTGAAGGCGCATTAAGGATTGACTTAGCCAAATTATGAATTTATTGTAAAAACTGTTTGTTAAATAAATTTCCAATTAAAATAAATATATAATTAGCTATTTTATTTAAAATACAACTTAATCTTAATATTTTTACTAAAATAAAAATTTAATATAACTAAGATAATAATATCTATATAAATATAATTTGTAACTATATTAAGAGCCATTATTTTAAGACTAATTACTGTTAAAAATGAATGACAAAGAACTTAAATATATGCATTAAATGCATTTCCCAATCTCATAATAGATCTATATTATATAATACAAGCCCTAAACCTTTTACTTGCGCAGCATCCAAATTACCTATTATGCATTCTCAACCTTTTTAATAAATATGATGGATGTATATATTTTTATTAGTGAGTTTCTGAATTGTTTCAAATAAGATACAAAATAATTTTTTGTATCCATCAGCTGATGATACATTCATATATATCCTGCAATAACTTAAAACTATCATTTTATTAATATGTAATATCTATAAATAATAATAAATATATAGAATAAAAATACTTACTTAATTTGTTTTTTGTATCATATTTATTAATTTCGAATTCGTTTATATTACTCGTAATACACTTGAAGGCCAAAACAATCTGAAAACTTTTTAGATTACTTAATAATTCAGCCTGTTGTTTTAGCATACAAATAATTAGAATAAGAACAGAATCAATCTATTCTAAATAATTAATATAAAAAAATTAATTATTAATTAAAATAATATAAATTTATAAAAATTTGGTAGTATTATAACAATTTACCTATATGATGTACATAGTCTTTTATTTCAGAATTGTTGTTTTTTGCTATATGAAAAACACCTAGAATACTTTGTCCATAAGGATGCATATTTTTATATACTTTAGCAACTAAAATGCATAATTTATCCATGCTATTTAATGACTGATGAAAATTAAAATTAAATTATTATTTATATAATAAGTTTATATAATTTAATTAAATAATAAAAAAACTTGCTTGATCAAATTATTCAATTTAAAAAATAATAATTATTAAAAATTTCCTTTTTAAATTAGTGGGTATTTATATTAGCATAGTGTATATTCTATTTTTGATGAATTTTCCTTTTTAAATTAGTTGGTATTTATAATTAACATGAAAATATGTTCTATTCTTGATATATACAAGTTGAACAAAAAAGGTTAATTTACAAAAATTTGAAATAATAAATTTTAACAATTTATTAATTTTTTGAAATAAATTATTTTATTGTAAATTTTTTAATGAATCTAAATATACATTTGAATATATAACAAATTTGCAAAAGTAACTAACTAATGATCAAATAATAAAAAAAGTCAAGATAAGTTCTGCTAAAATTCATATACAATTCTAATTCCAAAACTTAAAACCCCAGTATTTTTACAAATATGAGACCTTATTTCTAAAATTTTAGCTATAATTTTGAGAACTTCTTTAGCTTTTTGATCTAAACTCTTAATTCGTATATTCGCTTATAGCACTTAATTATTCAAAAAAAATATGAGCTGCCATTAATAGAAATAAGGCAGATTGACATTTTTAAAAAAATTAATACCTTAAATTTCACAGTTCGTATCTCAATGAATTTTGAAGCTATCTTGATAATTTAATATTCAAAAGAAAGCTTAAATCATAAGCTTTCTTTTGACTAATCAAGATAGGCTTAAAATTTATCGAGATATAAGCTGTGAAATTTAAGGTATTATTTTTTTTTTAAAATGTCAATCTGTCTTATTTCTATTGACAGTTGCCTATAAATTAATAAAAAGTTTTATGATGTTTGAAAATAAATTTATTATGTATATACAGCATACAGTCAGACCTCTCTAAGTACACCCTTTATAAGTGTATTTTCTAAATGTATACTCAAGTGCTAACCCAAATATATACTTAACATCTATTCTCTATATGTATGTTATTAAAGCATGATCTCAAGAGCATATATTTAGAGAGGTCTGGCTATATATGTTTATAACTATATTTCTCTAATTGCATGATCTCTGCAATATAATCTTAGATCTCTGCTTCAGACATAAAGTACAGTCAAACCTCTCTATAATCACATACTCGGATACAAAAATGTGTGATTGTAAAGAAGTGTGACAGTTATAGAGGTCAAATTTAATATATTTAATAATAGTTTGTTTTTAAAAAAATATGCTTATAAAGAAAATGTGCTTATATAGGAGGTGACTATAGAGAGGTCTGACTGTATTTAGAATTTTAGAGATATAACAACTTCTATATAATTTCTTTTTTACTATAACATGTTTAAGATTCTAGCCCCAGAAATAATTAGAGTTGTGAAGCTTTTGACAGAACTGGTGGTTTATTAACGATTAAAAAGCTTAAAATTACTATATATAAAAATGAAATGAAAGGTCAACTTTAAGAGCATAATTCTTTTTAATTTTATTGTTTTCTCACTTTAAACTTAGAAATTGAAAAATACTTGTGAAGTTAAATTGCTGTACCTTGTTACACAAATATAGTTTCCTTTTAGAAAACCCTTAAAAATAGCATTTGAAAAGCATCTAACATTGCAATTTACTATTAAAAAATAAGTAGATTATATGAATGTTGATCACTTAAATTTCATAATAAAAAAATTACCTCTCTGATTTGTGTGACAAATTGTGTGACTGTTATGAAATTACATACATACATATGTACTAGAGTCTGCAAGTGAGTATGCTGGGGGGTATATAGTAAAGTAGTACAGTATGGTAATGCAAGTTAGTACGGACGTTAAAAAAAAAAATTAAAAAATTATACTCAGACGTACACATGTGTAGTACATAATCAATTACGTATACTATGTATTATCGATTGCATGATTCATATACAATATTTATCGATTACGTATATTATCGATTAAATTAGTGATTTATTGCATAATTCCTATATTTTGTCAATAAAATCTCTTTATATAGTAACAATTGAATTCTTATTCGATCGTTGCAAATATCGCTAGCTATATTTGTCAATAAAACCTCTTTATATAGTAAATCAACTTTTTTATTTGATTGAATATGGATGATATAGTGGATATATCTGACGTTGAAGAATTTCAATATGACCAAGTAGACCCTGAATTCAAACAAGTAAATATATAAATGTTTAAATAGTAAATTTGATCTTGTTTCATAAATTTGAATTTATTATCAGGAATCGGAAGCAGAGTTATTGGTAGAAGAATCGATTGATGATGAAGAAGAAATTTCTGAAACAGCATGTTTTATATCCCAGTTTCATATAAAAACTATAATCCATTCCAACATACTTGTAGAATATCCATCTACATCGCCAAAAGGTGTTGCAACAATATTTCATGTTGCAGATTAGGCAGATCCAAACCACGTATGGAAAAATGTAAATTTTTTTTTTTTAAAAATTTAAAAATTAATTTATAAAACTTTATAATTTATTTATATTATTTAGATACAATATTCAATAGGTGGCAGTAAAATCCATTTAATTAAAAAGTCACTATATTTTGGCAATGTTCAAGTAAATAAAGAAGAGCATGATTGTTTGGAAATCAAAGTCTGTCAATTTACAGATCCTTCACTTACAAGTATTGAACACGATGAGGTTGATGTTGAATCATCATTATGGAAAAGAATAGCTAAAAATCAAGATGTTGATTTTAAAAAAACAAATACTTATATGTAAGTATTTTTTTTATATATATTTTAATAATTACAGTCCAACCTCTCTATAGTCACCTCCTATATAAGCACATTTTCTTTATAAGCATATTTTTTTAAAAACAAACTATTATTAAA